GATAATATAGGGTAAAGCAAATGAGTGTTCCATGACAATTAAACAGCAAATAATAACACTCTACTTTTGACTCTACTACAAAAACTTGAAAATTGAACAGCAAACTGAGTATGAGAATTGACAGTCGAATAGGCCATCACACTGTAATGTCATTTTGGACACCCAGCATGCAACGTCATACACTGATTAGCACTAGCTCACGATCTGCTATGACAATGTTGTCATAAGTTATTATAATAACAACACATACACACATATATATATTTAATAACAGCAGCAAATAACAGAATTATTTTAATGTTTCGGTGCAAATAACCGGCATTTGCCAACAAGTCACTGCTCACACATAAAGCACGGTGGTCGTCGTGCCATGTCCTGTTCGATATGGGACGTTGTCTGAAATTCGAACCCGCTACGCGACGACCACTGCGATTTAAATACACAAAATGTAAATAAGTGCAATGGCTTATAGTAATTAAATAATTAAAGTTTGAATGCAATCTTACCCAATTAATAAGCGTTTTCTTCTTATTTTCATCCATTACCCTGAATTTATATGTATACATACACAGTACATACAAAAGTCACTGGTATGCATACATCACCATCTAAGAATCTAGATTAAAAAAAAAGATTGTTAATAGTTTGCCTAATTTTACTTGAAACTTATATACATTTTATTAATTAAAGTACTTTGAGCATAACAAAGCTGTTTTTTTTTTCACTTTTATAAATATTTATAAATGTTAATGACAGTTAAATCTAACCACTCATTCAACAAGTGCATTGACGTTATTTGAAAACGTTCTAATTATATTCCATTAACCAGAATAAACCTCTAGTTTCAGTTTGAAGAAATTTATAAATATAAAGAGAACAGCTTTGTTGTGCCGAGAGTGCATGGTCACCATAAAAAGTTGTACATACTTTTACCGGGCCAGCAGCGTGAGCAGGCCTTCAGGATAAATAAAATCCGGTGAAAATATATTTTACACATAACTCTTCACAAAATGATTGAAAATTACTAAACCGAGATCAGGGATTGCGTTAACCCCATATTTTGCTTCTCGGACTCCAATTATTGAAGAGGGGTCCAGTTTTTCAGGCAAGCTGGGGTCCAATCTTTAAAAAAGTTATCCAGGGTCAAATTTCAATTTCTTAAAATTTTGTAAGTGGGACTCATCTTGCCGAGACACTAGTGCAAACCCTGATCTAGTGCTTTACAGCCGTCACTGTTACTGTTGTCAGTCAATGCATATTCGGCCCTGGCAAGTATGTATGTCTATCACCGGCCAAATGTACGTTTACTCTACGTACGTTTACTATAGCTCCTTGGCCATCAATAACATAATGTAACATAGGCCAATCAGAGTTGCTAAAACTTCAGTACGTCATATCATAGCCACTTTAACAGAGAATGTTCAAGCATGCTCAATCCATTCACCGAAAATGGCAGTGAGTATTGTCTGAGCGATGTACATAAACTTACCTGAGTCATGCTAATAACATTTAAACTATAAAAATGCACTAAACGTTTTACCATGAACGACCGACGATAACATTCTTACCGATAACAACGCTGATGAGAAGAAACCTGTTTGAGACCAAAAGATGCAGCATGTATACAACGATTGTTTTCAGCTTTCAAATAAAGTACTTCGCCAATCACGTGGTCTTGGCAGCCAATCAAAACAGAATAAAATACCCGATCCTCCGACTCGGTCCAGTTTACTCCCTAAGTTAGTGGTCATTTGTCATTGCAGGTGGACTTGTCTTTGTCTGAACTGCAAAGTAGCTGACAGGGCGGGCTATCCTCGACGAAGCGCAATTGTCTAAACAATGGTTATGTTGAATCACAGTCCCACAGTTTTGAGGGACTGTGGTTGAATATTACGAAGGACAGGACATCGATTACAACTACATTGTTTATAAATTTGCCGCTGGCGGCGCCATGCACTTCATCCTCACTAAATTTCTTATGCTAAAGTAGACAATTTGACCACTAATGTTATAGTTTTTCTCACTAGAATTTATTTATTTATTTATTTATTTATTTATTTATTTATTTATTTATTTATTTATTTATTTATTTATTTATTTATTTATTTATTTGTTTGTTTGTTTGTTTATTTATTTATTTATTTATCTATTTATTTATTTATTTATTTATTTATTTATTTATTACAGAACTACAGAACAATTCAAATTGAGTAACAGTGAAAAATGTAATCTAAGCGGACTCGCGAGTGCTGGGCCAGGCGTGATACGGGCCGGCCGATAATTGCCCTGATATGAGGGCGCACTTCCCATAGCGTTACGAGGCCGTCTACGAGGCCGGGCAATACGAGGTGTATTATACCACCGTATCCAACGGTGTTGGAATTGACTGTTTCACCGGGACAACTCTAGTTCTTTTATAGTTTGGCGATGAAAAATAACAAATTTATATAATGAACAGTATTTGTTTAATTATTTTGGTTTTCAGCCCTCAAATTACTGAACATGATCCCCATGAATTACGGTCAATGTTTGTCCTGTCTCGGCTTGAATGACAGACGCCGACACCGACGCGTCTTAAACTCAGGAGAAACAAACGACGATCGACATTCCAAACAAATTATTACCGGGACACGGTCGATAGGCATTCCAAATAATCGAAATTATTATCGAAACACTACAAACATAATTATACAAACACATCGTGAAGAGTCAACAGTTAGAAAAGGAAACCCAGAAATTACATCGATGTACTTGTAAATCGGACAATCATATCGGAATTATGTTGAAACATTTTTGGGGCAGTAAGTAATGTCAGAATATTGTTTAAAATAAAATAGGGTCAAATTGCGTGCATATAATTATAGATAGTTAAAAAACTAAGTATATATGAAATGTTGACGGCTATTCAACGTTTGTGCAAACCAGAATAAAAAAAAAGGTAGTGTATACAACAGCGATATGACTGAGATATCATGGCATTTGTTTACAATATTGTACCGGCTCTTATATTGGACACAGATGAAGTTGCGTTCGTGAACGATACAAAGTGGTATAGATTTGAAGAGTCGTTCAGAATTTAATAATAATTGTATCCCCGAACTGTGTCATTAAAACCACCATAATGATTTCGGTCATTCGTGTGCCAGTGACCAGTGTTTGGGCGAGCGGAAAAAAACACGATAAAAATGCGGTCGTTTCCCGGTCGGAAAATACTGTGCGGTCGGAAATTAAGCGATCGATTAAAAAGTGGGAAGTTGGGCGAATGAGTACTGTAGTTCAAGTTACGTTAGCGTATTTCTAATTTAGTATTAACTCATACAATATTTATTTACTCAGACACTGTTTACTATAGCTAGAACGCTGTACGTGTCTTCACTTCCAGGTTAGTTCTTCTGCCGATTTCTCACAACCAACAACGTGATTTTTCATTTGGGATTTCGAGAAACTTAACATGAATCGTTATGGCATTCATATGCACAACACCTCACAATATTTCAACTGTCAAATTGTCAGTTAACATGGTCTTTCATAGTAGCACTTCTATGAGATTGACGTACTAGAATGAATGGGTTCAATTATCAGTGTTCACTGATGACATCATTGACTGGCCCTCTAGAGGCGAAATGACACCAGTCAAAGCGGACGTTTGTCGTCTGCTTCGCAGCACATACAAGTTGTTTTTATCGACAGAATTTATGTACAGAGTTTCAAAAGCCAGACCTCTGCTCCCCTTTAAGGTGGCTATGCACCATGATTTATAGGAATTGTAAACAATATTCAGCCTTCAAACTTGGACCCGACAACGCTGCTCTGCAGCAAGCTGCATTAGTTTTGTATTATAATGATGATGGTTTGCGCAATGATAATGTAATTTAAAATTGGTACATATGACTCGTACAGTTGATTGCTTGATAATATGAGGTTATTACGAGAATACAGAAAAGTAAGGACGAAGAAAGTACAGCGGAAGTATGGACCGATGCCGCCGGCGCAGCGGAGGTCGATGCGACCGCGTATTGTCTGAGTGCATACTTTTCGGTATCCTCGTAATAACCTTATTATTATAGACCTTTCCTCCCATGGATACATCATGGGAATGCTGAAATACAAAAAGTTTAGAACAAATTGAGCGAAATTCTTTGTACTGAGTCCGGTCAAACCCTGGGGGCTGCCATGTTTGTTTTTATTATTAGAGGACGCGCGTAATCGTTCCATATTTGAAATTCGCATTTCCTAATATGGTAGGACGAAAATAGCCCATAAAATACCGCAATATTACGGCACGCTGTAACTTATGACGTTGCGGTGACAGATGTATAATAATACAATAAATATATAATAATTATAAACAATGATAATTACGTAAAGAAAACAAAACTAGAGTCTGAATAATCTGGAGTGACAGCAGAGTTGACCTTTAGTCGAACTACTATTTAATGCTACGATTTTAGTCGTATTCTCCGAATAGAACATGTTTACAAATAATTTTTACATAATTACATGGCCTATATATTTCCATATAGTTCACTTTGCTTCAGTGTCTCTGTGTAAAGAAAATTGGACAAATCACAAAAGAATTATAAATGACAGTTGGGTGTTTATTAGCGGTTGTCACGATTACGACATCCCTTGTCGTGAACTTGAACAAAGTGTTGTGTTCGGGGAACTTAGATTCGCTTAGCTAATAAGTAGAGATACCAGATTCGACCCAAAGGAATACACACTAGTTCGTTACAGATAGTCCAGCTTTATTCATTCAAACCGTCAGCTGAGGTCACGCCTCTATGTACACTTCTCTCTTTCTTCTGTTACAAAATCTTGCAAACTCTACAATAAAATTCCAAGGAGTGGCAGAGTAAACATGCGATCAGCCAATCGCTGCAGCCGTTGGCATGATCACGTGATCACCAAAAACGTGTCTCACGGTCAAAGCATTGCGAAGTTGCTACTACTGATACAATTATTTAACAATCTATATAAACAAAGATCCTGTAATAATACTGCAACGTTGTGTGAATCAAATGTGCATACGTGGTGTCATTATGATAACATCTTACTGAACCTTGTGTAATCACAGAATGCTATTGTATGTTGTTGCACAAAACCAATGTCATTTACAAAGAAATGCCAGAATATGAAAAAAAAATTCAAGATCGGAAATATGGTGTTGTAATTCTAACGTCGAACACATAAAACAATGCGTAATATTTGACAAACTGTAGTAGAAACTGTATTATTGATTCTATTTGCATATATCAAAAATAAATGTAATTCGTCAAATAAAAATAACAAGACGCACAAATTTGCAATTTCAGTGAATTAAGTGTTGGACGACTAAGTAATATCATCCGTCAAGAGGTGACTCAGCAGTATTTGCAGAAAACAACATCGTCGACGCGTAATGTACTTGAAAACCCGCTCCCTGTTAGTTAGTCAGTTATGGCAAGTTCAAATCAGTTTATGTAATTATACATTTGAAAGCGTTACTCTTACTAAATATTATGTCTGTTTCAAATGTAATTAAAAAGCATTTTTACAATACAACGAACAATTTAAATATTTTTAACTATGTAGTTTGCTACGTACTTGACAGTCAAAATAAATTAATCGTTCGAAACCAGAACACCGGAACTAGAATAGAATTGTTCAACTGTTCTTAAATCCGTATGTATCTTTAACTTGCTTGAATTGACAAAGTAGTTTCACTTCCACATGAAAAATGCGACGATGGGACCAGAACAGAGAATATTAAGACGGAGCCCTTCTTCATCGCTAACATCGATACCAATAGTGCGTTCGTAAGAAAATATTCTAATAATTCTGTACACAAAGAACTCCATTTACCAGAAACATGTCGTTTGTCCATTTTCGTCGTTTATGGCGCACCTCAATGCAGAGCCTCCAGGGGATTCAAGATCTAAGTATAGGGTAGCAAATTTAACATTTTGTTTTCGACTCAGCCTCAATTTTTCTTGTCTAGGATTGTCTAGGATTTGCAAATGTATAAGAGCTGTGAAGTTTGAGAACATAAACACAGCGTACACCATATCTATTGGCAATAAATAATACACAATTTAAATTTGAAATCAATCACTAGATAAATAAGATACATGCCACTTGGTTTTAGGTCCTCGCACATCCTACCCGATTTCGAATTTCCTTTCGTGTAAAACCATCAACATGCTGTACTAGTATTTTGTCATAGTCATCAATGATGTTAAAAGGTCAACCTACTTGCACGAACCAATCAGATTGCCAGGATTTTTCTTGCATATTACACTACTTGATTACACTGAATTTCCATGATATATGGGACAAATCATGGTTATCCTCACATCTATTTATAGGCCTTAGAGAATTAGAGAGAAAAAGTGGAAATTGTTTTGAATTTCCCTATCACAAATAACTATAATATCAGGGTGATATTACTCATGCTTCCTTGGCCACAAATCATAAAATATTTGAAAAACTGAATCTAGTCTACTATCACGGGGGGAAGTCTTCTCTCTGGGTTCTCCACACGTGTCAGGGGGGAATCTCGTCTCTGTCTCTATATCTCGTCCCCTTGAGGTACGGGATCGGGAAAGTCACTTAAGCCTTACAGTCAAATAAGACACACACAACGAAATACGTTTCAACTCTCGTCTTAGTCGATCAGTTGAGCATTCTATAAGACACAGCGCCCTGGGGAAAAGTCCCCAAGACTATCGCAAGGCTAACTCAAGACTCGCCCAAGACTGTCCAGGACTGGACTCTCGACTGCGTCTATCGTGGTGTACTCGCCAAGACCAACTCAAACTCTCTTTATTCATTTTCAAAACATTAACCAATTACAAAGCAGAAAAAAGACTCTAGGGCGTAACCTTCAATCATAAAGCCAATCACACTAAGTACTGAATACGTCATATCTTTTGATTAATCGTTCACTACATTAATAATTACGAATACCAACTGTCAGAAATAGTAGTCCGAATAGCGACGGTTATCTCGTAATTAGTTCTAAATCACTGAGCCAAGTTCCGTCCAAAACCTCGCCTGCCTAAACGATGACAGACATAACACAGCAATTCGCTAGTAATCAACTAAATAAGTCGATTAACAGATACGCGAAAACAAATTCATGACACTACACTAAAGGTTGTGGTATGGTAAAATCACGAAAACAAATATAATTTCCATTATTATACTCACTCAAGGCCTTGTTTTATCTTAATATTGAAGAATCTTCTAATTTCCATTTCATGTTGGAGAGAATTTCTATCAAACTATAAAAATCCAAAGCTTATATGTTGCTCACATGGAGCAGAGAGAGGTTTTCACAAATCATTAAGTGGGAATGCAATTTTGAATGAAAGGTATTTGATTTGTAAAAAAATTCAATAGATAGGG